AGCAGCCTCTGCCCTGGGTCTTCTCACACCAGCCATACACAGTGTCTCTGCAAATCCTTTCTCTGATTGTTTGGTTTCTCCTGGTATGTCCATTTTAAGGAAAGCACCAGGCCAGCCACATCTTTACTCTTTTACAGGTTCCTCTCCAGACTTTCCTCATCATGCCCCTAGTGGGTACCTTCCCCACAAGACATACATCCTTTTCAGCTTCCTTCTATGTGCAGTCTTCCTCTCTTAGAATGTAAGTTCCTTGAGAGCAAGAATGGTCTTTCAGAGTGGCTGTATTTGTATTCTTCGCACAGTGCCTGGTGCATGGAGACGTTTTTTGACTTGACTTGAATATTTCCGTAACTCTAGGTTGTACCTTTTTTAAGAGACCATTTGGGATGAAACAAAACTAAGAAAAAGGTGGTTAAATATTGGAGATAAGACACTGCAGGAACCATAAAACTTTGCTTATTTGATCTAATTATGTGGGCAGAGGTGTGTCCATCCCAGCTGCTATTCTCAGCCAGATCTGCCTGTTCTGTTACTATATTTACCTAACCCAAAGTATAATATACAATTGAAAAAAGAAATCTGAGCCATTGTATTTACACAATGCCCAACTTCCTTGGAGGAGAGCATGATCAGAGGAGGATCCAGCAGGCATGGGCCACCCCTGCTCTAACATTTATTTCTGCTCGCAGAATGGCCAAGCTGCCCTGACTTCCCCAGACTGTAGAGCAGCTTCTGTCTCTGCTACCCTTAATCCAAATCATCCTACTCCCCTACCTATATTCCCTTGGGTAAAGAGCCAGCCAGTTTTTTATCCAATTACCCCACAAGCAGCATGGACTTTTCAAGGGAGTCAGATTACCAAGAAACACAGCAATGGAAGCAAAGTACAAGGTGTACATCCAGGTGGATGGAGTTACAAGAAAGGAGCTTGACAGGGTGTACACATTTCTGAACTGGTCTGCAGTTCAAAGAAAGACACTCAAACTTTTAGCAAGTTAAATTTGCCTTGGTACTGGGTATAGGTGTGGTGGGGTGGCACCATCAGTCATTAAGGATAGAGACAGGGACTCTGCCTGTGATTTCATTGGTTATAAGGTATTCCTAAAGAGGGAAAGTCCCACTGCCAATGTAGATAAGCCACTTCTCTGAAAACTATATGGTCTTAGCAAGCTGCCTAAAACATCGAAAACTTAAGTGACTTGCCTAGGGTCCCACAGCCAATGTGTACCACAGGCGGTATTTGAAATCAGGTCTTCCGGGGCAGCTAGGTGGTGCAACAGATAGAGCTCCAGCCTTGGAGTCAGGAGGACCTGAATTCAAATCTGGCCTCAGACACTTAAAACTTACTGTGTGACCCTGGGCAAGTCATTTAACCTTGATTGCCTCACCAAAAAAAAAAAAGGGAAAAAATTGGGGGGGGGCAGCTAGGTGGCACAGTGGATAGAGCACTGGCCCTGGAGTCAGGAGTTCAAATCCAGCCTCAGACACATAACACTCACTAGCTGTGTGACTCTGGGCAAGTCACTTAACTCCACTGCCAGGGGCAGGGAGAGGCAGGGAAGAAATCAGATCTTCCTGGGTTCTAGGCTTGCTCTCTATCCATTTGCCAAAGTCACTCTCATCAATTAATAAATAATTATTTGATATTTATATTTGCTCTGCCTTTGCCACCCCCACAAATAAATCAATTAGTTAATATTTACATGTGATCTGCCTTTGTCATGCCCACAAATATTGCCTAGAAAACTTTGTAGAGGGAAACACCGGCTGGCTGGTCAGACTATCCAGAGTTCGATTCCTGTGCTCTTATTGTTGACCTTGAAGTTAATAGACTTCTAGGAAGAAAGAGGAAGCCCAGAGTAGGCAGCTTCAGAGGAATCATCAAGCATAGCTGAGAAAGGGTCAGAGTACAGTGCATATGAGCAAAGGTGGAGGACAGCGATGGGCAGGAATGGATGCGGGATTTTTGCTCCTGATCAGGTGACTCAGAAGGACAAGATGGCAACTGTCTTCCTCTCCCCCCCCCTTTCACAATCCAGATAAAGGTCAAATTTCCCTTTTTGTCAGCCAGTCCTTTCATTTCCTGTTTTTCCATTTTCTCTTCCTTGTTTCTTCACCCAGGATTAAGAGTTTCAATTTCTCCGTTTAGTTTTGTGCTTATGCTATTTAACCAAAACTATCTCTTTAAAATGAAAAACACTTGTCGGACAACAGACCTGAACTGTTTTGACTGGTCACTGAGTTGCACCGCCCATATTTTTGTTTTCAGTTGAATTAGACCCAGTGGCTAGGGAGTCAGCCTTGGAGCCAGGAAAACTTGGCTTCATGTTCTGCTAGCACTTACTGGCTGTCAGACTCCAAGTAAAACACTTAGAACTGCTCAGTGTTCTAGGCAGCTCTCTAGATGTCCCGTAGCAGGTGCCAATTTGCATTCGTGGAGGATATTTCCTCATCTGGGAATTCCTTCCATGAATGAAATAATGAGTCCAGTCCCTATCCCCACAGAATTATGCAGAAAAAGGGGGGAAGGGGAGGGGAGAACCACATTCTTTTAAAGAGAAGACTTTTCCTTTTGTTTCAAGGTTGGGGGAAGGGAAGAGAGAAGGGAACAAATTGAGCAGCAGAGGATCTACTACTTTCAAAACCCTGAAGATTGCACAAATCCCATTTCAAACCTTTGACTTATTTTCTTTTTCTTTTGAAAAAAACTTTCTGTGTGACCGAGAGGAGAGTTGAGCAACCTTCCCACACAGCTGCTTGCAATAATAGCCTAGCATAAGAGTGAGGACTTTGTACAAAGCTCTGGGTAGCCAGCTCTAGTGCAGATAGCATTTTCTGGAATGGTCCGAGCTCTGGATGGCCCCTGGCCTACTCACAAGCTCCCCCTGGTGGATGTATGTGTGTGGGTTTTTTTGGTGGGTGGGTGGGTGTGGGTGGGTGTGTAAGGATGCAGTCCTTTGATAATTACTCCACTGACCAACTTAAAGTGATAAGATGCTCAATAATTGATTAATCAATGAATTAGAGACTTTAGACTTAATTGGGTTTAGATAGGCCAAGTCCTGGGCCATAGCCCAGGGGTCTTATAAATTATCAAGTTCATTAGAGTTGTAGTATTTCCAGAAATTGGAGGGAGTATGTCATTCCAGCTAAACTCCCTTGAGAAGGAACCACCTGAATGGGGAAGAGAGGCCTTGGTTTTTTAGCCCTAGATCTCCTTCCCTTTTGGCCAGAGGAAGACCTTTTAAGTTTGGAAGGGGTTGAGACTTTTCATGTTCCCATCATATTTCCATGTTCCCTTATAGCATCCTCAAAGCAAATTTATGACCAGTCGATGTTGGGTTCCCAGTACTGTATTGGGAGCCTAACATAGACTGGTCATAAATTCATGGTTCTGAAAGGAACCTCAGAAAGAAACCACATCATAACCAAAGGGAACTATTTAATCACCTCACAAACAAGAGAAAAGGATTTGCAGCAACCGGGAGCTCTGGGCTACCCTTCTGCCACATGTGCTGGTGAAGCTTAAGCCCATTTTTCCCTGGTCTTCTGCCCTGGGAAAGAGTTGCTCAGACTTTTGATATTTTATAGCAGCTCTTCTTACTAAAGACCTGAGCTCAAATCCAGCCTCAGATCAACTGTCTGAACCTGGGACAAGTCATTTAAACTGCAGTCTGCCTCAGTTTCTTCAACTATAAAATGTGAATAATAATAGCACCTCCCTCCCAAAGTTGTTGTGAGGATCCAATGAAATAGTATTTGTGAAGTATTTAGTCCAGTGCTTGGCACATAGTAGGTGTTTCATAAATGCTTGTTTCCTCTTTCCTTTTTAAAAACTTTAGTAAAATACCCTTTCTAAAAGTTACTGAAGGCTGGCTGACTAAAATGATTCTCAACTGATCATCCTGGGGGAAACACACTGGACTGTGGCATTGGAGACCACCATGACTCTTTAAAGGTACCCCAAGAACACCGAGGGGGAAATGTAGCATTTTTCCAGGACTGAAGACTCATCAGTGAGATCTGTAGTTAGGATAAGGATCTTCAGAGATTATATAGAATATAGATAGATATAGATCAATATACGTATGTGTGTATCACTTCAAGATTTACTCACAACAATCCTGCAAGACAGGTAGAGTAAATATTACTATCCAAATTTTACAGCTGAGGAAACAAGTTGTTGGAGATAAGTGACTTCCTTCTGGGCACACAGTATGGATTAAACCCAGCTCTCCTGACATCTGACCCAAAGCTCTATCCACTAGACCACCTTGCACCTCCCAGAACCTGCTGACAAGGTATTTGTTCAGGCTGCAGTGCCAGGACCCTATAAGAAAGCTATTTGCCTATCTGGCCCTGAGCTTCCAGTAATCTCAGCACCACCTCTCTTACTTCTACTGGAAGTACCTGTGGCTATAGTACCAGTGAGTATTACTTCCGGTGCTGAATGACCTGCCTGAAGTGCAGGCACTAGACAAGCTGGTTTGACCTTCTGGACTTACCTCTTAGTGAGTACCTCAACCTAGGCTCCCATGATGTATCATATTTTTCTTAAATTTGATACTTTTTTTATACAACAGAGACTTCTCAACAAAAAAGCAAACAAGTCCCCTTAAAAATATATTCCCCCAAAACAACTGTGGAAAATTTTCAAGTCCAGCCTTCAGCATTTATTAATAGTGTGACCCTAGAAAAGTCACTTGCCTCTGTGAGCCTATAAAATAGGAATAATAATACCTCTAGTAACTACCTCACAGAGACAGAGAGACTTGGGGGGAGGGAGAGAATGAGAGATGATAGAGAAAGCGAGACAGCGAAAAAGAAAGAGACAGAGAGAAAGAGACAGAAAGAGAGAGAGAATAAAATAACTACTTAACCAAATCCAAATTGTAAAGTTGCTTGAAGGAGAAATACATTAAGCAGACAGCAGACATCGCAGCGATTCAATACAGCATTGTCTGTGAACCTGCCGAAACCCGAGGATGTAATAAGCTCACCTTGTTCAGTCGTTCAAGCGTTTCTTTCAGCAGGAGCTGATATTCACATTCATTTTGATACCTGTAAATTGAACACAGAAAGGACAGGTAAGCAGTTTATGTACTGATCACACAAACTGTAGACTGTGCTAATGATCCACAAGCAATCTACATCAATCAACAAGCATTTATTAAGCACCTTCCATGGGCCAGGTACCAAACTAGGTTCTGGGGCTAGGAAGGCAAAAATTGAACAGTCCCCACCCTGAAAGGACTACCCTATCTTTACATTCTATCAAGTATGCATACAAGGAGGGAAGGCATGAGCAGCTAGGGGGTTCATGTATGTGTAGAGGGTACTTGGGGTCAGCCCTGAAGGAAGCTAAAGAGTCTAAGAAGTCAAAGTGAGGCTGGAGGGTGCCCCAGGCATGAGGGGCAGCCAGTACAAAGTCAAGGAGACAAGAACTGGAGTGCCACAGATAAGGAATGGTAGGACAACCATACTTACTAGACCACAGAGTGTGTGCTGGGGAGTATACTCTGACTCAAAAGGTTGGTTAGGACCAGGTTGCTAAGGGTTTTTAAAGCCGAACAAAGGAGTTTATATTTTCCCTTAAAGGAAACTACATACTACAATTTGTGCACAACATGTAACCACTATATACTAAGTTGAATTCTGTTTAAGATTTTCCAAAATGATTCAAAAATAGCTAGGTGGTGCTGTGAATGGATCACCAGACTGAGAATCAGAAAGACCTGAGTTCAAATCCAGCCTCAGTCTCTTACTAGCTGTGTAACACTGGGCAAGTCATGTAACCTCTGTCTACCTGTTTCCTCATCTGCAAAAAGGGGATAATAATAGCACATTGCCTCTCAGAGCTGTTAAAAGGATCAAATCATATAATATTTGTAAAGTTCTTGAAAACTTTAAAGCACTATACAAATGCTATTATTATATTCCAAAAATGTGTACAGAATCATATACATGTTGTTGTTCAGTCATTTGTCAGTCATGTCTGACTATTCCTGAGCCCACTGTTTTGTTGGCAAAGATACTCCAGTGGTTTGCCATTTCCTTCTCCAGCTGATTGACAGACAAGGAAACTGAGGCAAATCAGGTTAAGTGACTTTCCCAGGGTCACACTGCTAGAAAATGTCTGAGGCCAGATTTTAACTCAGGAAAACGAGTCTTCCTGACTCCAGGCCTGGCACTCTATCCACTACACCTAGCTGCCCTTAATTATATACACGTGTATTTACACACATACTCTCTCTTTATATGTACATGTGTGTGTAAATATGTATGTAGTTGTGTATGCATATATGTATGTATGTGCATGTGTGTATATATGCATATATGTTCCGCTGAAGTCCTTCTGCACCTAGCTGCCCTTAATTATATATGTGTATTTACACACACACTATATATATACATATGTGTGTAAATATGTATATAGTTGTGTATGTACATATATGTATATATGTGCAAGTGGGTTTGCATGTGGGTATGTATGTATGTATATGTTCCACTGAAGTCCTTCTCTGAAGCTACTTCATCATGGTGTGGGGATGACCCTAGATTTTCAAAGGTTGTGTCAACAGCCCAAGCTCTGGATAGATCCTACCAAGCCGGAAAGGTTTAGAGGACAGGCCTGGAGATAGACCCTGGGCCCATCAGCTTAGTGGCATTTGGATCGGCCACTAGGCAATGCCTTTTTTGGCCGCAACATCTTAGGAAGGCATATAGAGGCAGCTGGTGAAACAATGGATAGAGCAATGGGCCTGGAGTCAAGAAGATCTGAGCTCAAATCCGGCCTCAGACACTTACTAGTTGGGTGACCCTGGGCAAGTCACTTAAACCCTTGTTTGCCTCAGTTTCCTCAACAGTAAAATGTGGAGGATTGTTGTGAGGGTCAAATGAGATAATATTTGTAAAAAAAGCAATCCTTAGTACATTGCCAGGTACATATCACATGCTATCTAAATGTCTATCCCCTTTTCCCTTTATGAAGACCATCTACTACTAAGGTAAAGGGGGTGGAGGTGGGGGGGAGTCAAAATCCACATTAGTGGAGAAAGTACCCACAGCAATGAAATCACAGACCTTCTGAAGCACTGCAATTTAACAGACAAACATCCTCTTCTTTCTGTAGGGTTTCTCTCCCTAACTCTAGGGAAAATACCACTACTTGGGAAACAAAGGAAGGCGACTCAGCACAATGCTGTGCTGAGAAAAGGAAGCTTGGGAAATCTTTCCGTATGCAGGAAGTGGAGATGCCAATTCCCAAAAATAACTTTCCTCCTCTCTGTGCATCAGCTACTGAGCACAGGTTCCTCTATGTATTCGTACACGTCCAGTCTAAACTGGAGTTCACTAGAGGGAAATACAATTGGTGAATTTTTGAATCATGTATTTAGATTTTTATTTCCAAGGTAGGGGACAAGAACAAGACCCAAAATGTCATCGTCATAGGTGGTGCTTCCAACTGGGCACTTGCCTTGCCAATACAGTTAGTGCCTTCTCCGCAAGTTGTGGTTTTAGAGAGTTGACTGGGGCACCCGTTGGTCAAATGCCTTATTCTGGGTCACACAGTTTTTAATGTATCAATGAAGGGAATGGAATCCAGGTCTTCCTAACTCCTAGGCCACTCTGTCTATTCTATCAAGCTGCCCCTCATTTTGTCTTGCTTACTGGACTTTAATAAAGGAAAGTGGGTTGATATTTTGCAAGTATACTTGAATTTCATAAATGTAATATTTCATAATGGGGGGGATGGGGGGATGGCCCATGGTCCAAGAAGAGACTCCCAGGACTAAGATCCAGATTACTAGCATGTGAAACCTTAGATAAAATACTCCACCTAGAGAGGCTTGAGTTCTCTTATCTCTCCACTGAGGGGATGGGCTGGCTCAGGGATGCTTAACTGCTGCGGTGTCAAGGCTCCCTTTGTGTCAGGGACCTCTCCACAGGTGAAACTTATGGACCCCTTCTCAGAATTTTTTCCAAGACATAAAATAAAACACATAGGATTACAAAGGAAACCAATTACGTTGAAATAAGGTTATCGAATTTAGAAAAGCAAAGTTTTAAAAAATTTTATGACTAATATGCAAATATATTTTGCATGACTTCATATGTATAATAAATATCATATTGCCTTCTCAAGGGGTGAGGTAGGGACAAGAGGGAGGGAAAGAATTTGAAACTCAAATTTTTTAAACTGAAAAAACTTTTAAAAAATAGTTGGAAAATATTTAATGAAATAATGAATATTATATTATATTATATTATATTATATTATATTATATTATATTGTATTATATTATATTATATTATATTATATTATATTATATTATATTATATTATATTATATTATATTATATTATATTATATTATATTATGCTATACTATGCTATACTATGCTATACTATGCTATACTATGCTATACTATATTATATTATATTATATTACATTACATTACATTATATTACATTACATTACATTACATTACATTACATTACATTACATTACATTATATTATATTATATTAATAATGAAATAAATAAAAGTATATCAGTTTTATGATCCTTTAAACTACAAAGTCTCCAAGATCCCTTTCAGTTCTAAAATTCTATGATTTTGTGATAGTTCTCATAATTTTAGTCAAGGCAAAAGTTGTTTCTTAAACAGATAAAATTAGTTTTGAACATATCTTTGGAAACAGAAGTCAAAATTCATGAATTTTCTCCTCTCTCCTTCCTATTAAAAACACTGACCAGGGTTTTGGGACCAGGCTTCTAAGTGTCTGAGGCTGGATTTGAGCTGTGAAGTGTGACACAGTGAATAGGGAAACTATCTGTGGAATCAGGAAGATCTACTAACATAGCAGATCATGACCGAGGACAAGTCACTAAATCTCTCAAGGACTCATGTAATTCTCTAAAATTAAAAACTGCATTACAATGTCTACCTGCATGAGTACTGGGTGGTCTGCATGGAGGAATGGATGGATAAAATCATAGGTTTGGACTCAAAAAAACAAATAGCTTAAACTAGGCCTATAAATCCCTCGGTAGAAATTCTTGCTACTTTCCATATATTAAAATTCTGCTTTCTGAAGTCCTCTAACCTCCTAGGTATAGAATAATTCTTAAGTCAGTAGGGTTCATAAATGATGGCTACATATATTTCTGCACTTGGAGCCTCAATATTTTTTACTACTTTCTAGCTTGGACTGGTTATGAATTCAACTGCGGAATATCAAACCAAATTATATGTGACTGGCATATTGTGAAAATGTAGTTTCATTTTTAAAAAGTTTCAACTTTCCTCTCAAATAAGTGCAAGCTTTCTTTTTTGGCAATTGGGGTTAAGTGACTTGCCCAGGGTCACACAGCTAGGAAATGTCAAGTGTTTGGTCTGAGTTGGGATTTGAACTCAGGTTCTCTTAACTTCAGAGCTGTTGCTCTATCCACTGTGTCACCTAGCTGCCCCTAAGTGCAAGCTCTCTTAACAGATAATTTGTAAAGGAATGAAATTTCTCAGATAAATCACAAAGGCAAGCAAAGGACCAAGTAAAATAAAGAAAAAAATTACTAAAATTAAAACTGGGATTTCCTTAATTAAAAGCTCATAGCACCTTTATTTCAAAGATCCAAATAAATAAGTTGCTTCCTCAATTCTCAGGCAAAGATTAATCTGGGGCCAAATTACCCCAATAACTTTTTTGGATTTTGGGACAAGTGCATAATTTTTCCCTTCCCTTTGGCTCTCAGTACATGTCTTGCATAAGTGAATTTTATGAAAATTAATCTAAAAGCAGAGTCAGTCAAAATGTGATCCCTTTATTGGGTATTACACATGTGAATCTCTGTCCTTATCACATTTTTAAAAACAATAATCATAACTAGAAATAAAAGGCATCATGGGAAATGCAGCTAATTTGTATCACTTGATAGACACAATATAAAATGGTTAAAGAGAGCTGAAGAAGAAAATGGCAAACTACTCCCGTATCTTTGCCAAGAAAACCCCAGATGGGGTCACAAAGAATCAGACATGACTGAAACGACTGAACCACAAAGATTCTTGTTAAAGATAAGTCTTCTACTGTTAATATACATGGTAAATCTAGACAAACTCTTTTAACTCTGGATTTGCATGTGTATGTATGTATGTTTTTGTGTGTCACACATATTTGTGCGTGTATGTGTACATATATATACACACATGCACATATATATAGCAGTACTTAATGGTACATGCAAAAGAACACAGTCCCTAGAAAACACTAACGAGTACAATGTTCATTCGCTAATTAGCAAATCGGTTTCCTGAACAACTTCTAGAATCCTATTTTCACCCCCTTTGAAGTTATCTGACTGTGGCCGTTGGTAAGTGGTAGAGTGGACATCAGCCGGCCCGATCCTAGAAAAGTCCTATTCTAGCCACCTTGCCCCTGCCAAACATCCCCATAACTCCCACCTCCGGGGGCCACGCCTCATCCTGCGTCCACCCCAATGAAGCTTACTTATTTCGGAACTCATCGAGCACTCGTTGGGCATCCTTGTCCTCCCGCTCCAGCTTGGCCCGGTCAATAGCCAGGTCCCTCGCCCGCTGAAGGTTCAGCTCTATTTGCTCAGAAAATGCTTCCTCCAAGCTAGTCAACTCATCTAGACGCTGGAAAGTTTCTAGCTGCTTTCGGAAGATGGCATTGCGCTGCTCCAGCCCCCGGGCCCAGTTGATGTAGTTGGCAAAGCGTTCATTGAGCTCTTGCAGATTCTCCAGCCCTTGAGCCTGGCCCAAGCTACTTAGCTCTCCTGAGCCATGTAATTCATCAGCCCTCTCATATTTCTCCTTTCGGGTCTCACGCAGATAGGTGCTCCTATACATGGCTACTTGGGGTACCTATGAACCTCCTTCTCCCTTCTCCTTCTCTTAGGCCCCACACCAGGGGCAGTGTCTCCCTCTCTCTGATGTGGGTACCAAATATAACACTTCTGGGTGGTAGGGGAACGAGACGAATACGTTATCTAAATGCTTGGCTTTCTGCATTTGTCCCAAGAGCCGGAATTCCAGCAACCCTCTAAATAAGCATACGCGTGCCCCCACGTCACTCTTCTCTGCCTTTCTAGAACCAGGTCAGCATTCGGGCAGAGTATCACCATCCCCTAGCTCATGAAAAATAAAAGAGAGGGGGCTTTGGCTTTGCAAGCTGGTTTAGAAGGCCATGGATCAGGTGCCCTACAGAGGCCCTGAGAATTAAAAGGCTAAATTGAGATCATGGGTCAGTAGCTTTTTGTTCTATATTTGTTTAGGCCCCTAGTTGTTTTACTGAATGGCAGGCCTGGTAAGAATGAGAGGCATGATTTCTCTGCGATTGCTTTCATTGTTATGTTATTGTAAAGGAAATGAGGGCAGGTTTGTATACATAGAAAACCAAAGGACAAGGAAGTTCAGCTCTCTCAGCCCTCATGAGACAATTAGTAAATAAGTTAAGCAGCAATGCAGTAATTAATAAAGTATAGTACTTCTTTTAGGCATGTCTCAGAAGCTCTGTTGTCTGTGAAGTTCTCTGTGACACCATTGTGGGTACTCAATAAATATAAAATTCACCTTTCTAAAGCAAAAATATTCTAGGTAAGTTGAAGATATAAGAAGATCCAAAATTTAAAAAAAAAAACTTGCTAATTTCTGCCAAACTGTTTTCCAATTTTCCCAGGAGTTTTTGTCAAATAATGAGCCCCTGACCCAGAAGCCAAAGAAGTCTTTGGGTTTATCAAACACAAAGCTATTAGGTTCATTTGCTTTAGTATAAAGTATACCTAATCTGTTCAAATGATTGACCTCTATTTTTCAACTAGTTCAAAATATTTTATGATTCCTATTTTGTATTATCATTTGAGATCTGATGATGTTAGGCCTCCTTTTTTCCCACTTTTTCCATTATTTTCCTCGAGAAGCTTCATCTTTGTACTTCCAAGTACATTTTGTTATTGCTTTACTCTAACTAAAAGTAATCTTTTGGTAGTTTGATTGGCAGGGCACTGAATAAGTAAATTAATTTAGGTAGTATTATACTTTTTATTGTACTGGCTCATGAGCTAATTACTATTTTTAGCCTGATTGGTTATCCATAAGAGAGGACTGGTCTTGGTCCTTGGGGGCAGTGGGCTCAAACTTAAAGTAGTCACTTGTAAACAGCTTTGGTCCCACCTGTTCATTTCTGAATGTGATACAGTCACCAAAGGAGCTGCTCCCTTGGGCTGAAGCCCACATGTGCTTCCCTAGGGTCTGTGCTGGCACCTCCCTGGGCTCAGCTTCTAGCAACTCAGGCATTATCTTACAAAGCCCACATGGTGAGGGGTAGGGATGACAAACAAGCATTTATTTTTATTAAGCACCTAATACATGCCAGGTACTGTGCCTTTAAGCACTTTACAAATATTATCTCATTTTATCTTCACCCTATGAGGTAGGTGCTATTATGATCTTCATTTTATAGCTGAGGAAACTGAGGCAGACAGAGGTCAAGTGACTTATCCAAGGTCACGCAGCTAAATAAATATCTGAAGCCAAATTTCAACTCAGGTCTTCCTGAGGGCCGGTGTTCTCTCCACTGTACCAGCTAGTTGCCTCATAGGTCACTCCAACTAAGATTAAGAAAAAAATAGATACCACAAGGATAGAAACCTCACCTTCCCACCTTTCCATCTGGACTTCTACTTTCAAAATGAAGGAATGACAAGCTCTGTTAGCTCAGAGTCTCCCTTAAGAGGGTGCTGAGGAAGTGTTCCAGTATTGTAATGATAAGGGTAATAAGACTCCTGTAGTCAGGAAGACTCATCTTTGTAAGTTCAAATCTAGCCTCAGATACTTGCTGGCTCTGTGACCCTGAGCAAGTCACTTAACCTGTTTTACCTCAGTTTCCTCATCTGTCCAATGAGTTAGAAAAGGAAATGCCAAACCACTGCAGTATCTTTGCCAAGAAAACCCCCAATGGGGTGGCAAAGAGTCAGACCCGACTGAAATGACCCAACATCAATAAGATCACAGTTCTTAGATAATCTACAAAAGTAAGCCTACAAAAGATTAACTCTTCTAGGATTCTTAATGTCATATCCTTGACTGTCGCAATTGAAGTCTGTGAATAAAAGAAACTGAAGCAAAGAGTTCCAAGCACGATCAGTTTATTAGCAAATGGCTGGCAATTTGCCAGTAAAGTGGGTTCAAGACAAACTTAGTTGGCACAAGGACAAATAGATGTTTTTACATAGAGCATTTTTATAGTTAATAAAAAGGAATCAATCAAATAACATAATTGAGTAATAGATTTACCAAGTTTTCTGATTGGATGGAGGTTCATAAATCTTAGGTTATTTCCAAAGCTCAGAGTGAAAGAGGAATTTGAAAATTAGTACAGTTCCTGAGGGGTATAAATAAATCTTCTTGCTGAATGGCTGAAGACATAGGTATAGATTAATGGAAAGTTTTACACCAGCAGGTTATATCATCTGACAGGAATAGGGGGTTTCCAAAGAGAACTTTTATAAGAATAAAGAACTATAATAGGTTTGCAATATTCAAGGTGTGGGTATCTCTGGCCCCATGTGACTATAACTGATAGTGGAGTAACTGTGGTCTATAATGTATAGCAAGACTTTTAGTCAGAATGAGGAACTTAGCTCATGGGCTACTGAACTCTTAGCTTTGCAAAAATGGGGAAGTTAGATAATAGAGAAGTTAAGCAAGAGTCAATGCCCTGTCAGCCTCTACAAGGGCACATACATACTTCTCTGTCTTTGTTATTTAGTCAGTTAGTTACACCCAACTCTTCAGGATTCCATTTGGGGTTTTCTTGGCAAAGATACTGGAGTGGTTTGCCATTTCTTTCTCCAGCATTTACACAAAAAAGTACCTCCATAGGGCAGCGAGGTGGAACAGTGGATAGAGCACCGACCCTGGAGTCAGGAGGACCTGAGTTCAAATGTGACCTTGTTGTGGGCTAAGAGGTTGAGAGGTTGTGACCCCTCAAAGACTGAAGTACATGGGTCATCTGGAATGAATTCACAGACTCAAGCATTCTTTAAGCCAAGGTGGCAAAGTTTATTGTTACGCTTTTCAGCGGGCAAGGATTCTTAAAGGATCCTATAACCTTAGAGAGGTACAGTTAAAGTTTATATAGGATAAAATACAATAAAACATGTGCCAAATATGCTAACTAGGGGATTCAGGGTGGAATTAGGGAGTGGTTAAGTAGTGGTCAGTTCTTAAAAGAACATGCATTTCTTGTACCTACTGTGCAGGCGTTTTACCCAGAGTTCATTAAGGAAAGCCCACAAAGGGGGGCCACATGGAGGTGTGGTGTTAGGCCTGCTATGTCACTAAGTTAACTAGCGGTCAGGGTAACTAAGAGTTGTTCAGTCTGCCACCAATCAATGTCTTGTTTGACAAGATAGGTGTAGGGAGTATACGTATGTCTTAAGTCTAGAATACAGTTAATGAGGATGTAGATAATGTGGTAGGGTGGTAGGATAGTATAGTAGTGGGTAAGAATGTCTTTATGACCCAGTGCAAAGCCAGTTTAAACTAATAAATCCTTCAGGTGCTGTTTGGAACTGGTCCAGGGGGAGAGAGAAGGGTCTTGCTGGGGCCCACTCATGAGTAATTGCTAAGCACAGGGTCCTTGGGCTGGGGAGAAACTGTCAGGGACAGTGTTTCTGAGGCTAGGGAGAAATTGGGGTCCAAGTACAAGCACCCAAACACAAGCACCCAAGCACCCCCGTCAACCTGAGAGAGCTAACACTTACTAGCTATGTGACTCTGGGCAAGTCACTTGACCCCAATTGCCTTGCCCCCTCCCAAAAAAAGTACCACCACAAATAGGTAAAGGAAGGAATTAGCATAGTGAGCTTCCTTGTGAGTGCAGAGGTGACCAGAGGCATGAGTCACTTTGTCATCCCATTTCCTAAAACTCACAATGAACATAAGGCCAAACAAATCACCAAGAAGACATTCACAGTTGGTATCACCATCTTTTGCAGAGTATAAAACAGAGAGATTCTGCAAAGAACTTAACAAAAGTCTCCAGACAAAGTGATGTATGCCTGATTACTCAGTGACTTAACTCAATGTCAAATTGATCATAGGGTAAGACAGATAAAAGGAAGTTGGAAAAAATGATTCCAAATTAAAAAATTGAAGAGGCTTATAGACTACTCAAACACTCCGTTTCTTAACTATAATGAGAATGGTAGTGTTTCTATAGCAACTATTATGTTCCAGACATTGTGCTAAGTTCTTCACAAATATTATCTCATTTAATCCTCACAACCTTAGGAGGTAGGTGCTATTATCTTCCCCCATTTTACAAGTCTTCCTGACTCCAAGTCCAGTTTTTTTGTTTGTTTGTTTGTTTTTAGGCAATTGGGGCTAAGTGACTTGCCCAGGGTCACACGACTAGTAAGTGTCAAGTGTTTGATCTGAGGTAAGATTTCAACTCAGGTCCTACTGACTTCAAGGCTTGTGCTCCATCCACTGCACCACCTAGCTGCCCCTCCAAGTCCAGTTTTTGTGCACCACACCATCTATCTTCACGTAATGAGAATAAAAGAATCAGAGAATGTTAAAAATCTAAGGAACTTTAGGGACTAAATCCAATACCTCATTTTACAGATCAGGAAATTGAGGCCGAAAGGTTAAGTGATTTGACTAAAATCAGAGAGCTAGTTTGTAGCAAAATGGAGTCAGGACTAGAAGTCCCAGTTGCTACAAATGTGACCCACCTACAATTAGGTCATTCATTTATTCAACAATCACTTCTTCAGTATAGATGTATACAAAGCATTGTACTAGGTCAGTGCTAGGGGACTCACAAAGATAATATAGCAATA